AATTGACAGTTCTGTTTTTTCTCAAAAAAGGCTTCAAAAAATCTGAATTTATTTTTATGCTTAGCTGCAAGTCTTCTATTACCATTCGAAAGTTGGTCGGACAATTTTGAATAACCCTGTATCAGTTAAAAAAAAATGTTTTCAATTTAAAATTTTGCAGTTTTTTAGAAAACTATTTTTTATTTTGAAATCTTTGTTACATCTAGAAATTTATTTGAAACAAAACGTTAAATTGTCATTGTTTTGTTGATCTCTTGATCAGTCAATCAGTGAAGCAGTCGTCATTTCGTGTAAGACTGCATCATAACGCGCCTTCCTCGTCTCCGCTAACTTATTCAAGAGCCTCTCCACATCATAAATATGGCTATTATTTATTTAAATCGCTAGGGGTGCTTCCGCCTAATGGAAAATTAAAGGGCGAATTTAAAACGTTGTAAAAATCGCATCCCCCTGCATGGATTTCCATCTATCCCGGAGAAGTCCCGCCGCCATCATCCGCTGAGTGATTAGCGTATGGATCCGTCGAAGATCCGTCGCACCTGAAAGCTTCGACGGCAGGCATCGGTGGTGGCGGTGAGGGCGGCTGCGGGGGCGGCGGAAATGAGCTTAACTTGGCTGCGGTTAACAGAAACCCGGCTAACTTTGATCCGTGCCAGTCTGCTAATTAGCTGATTAATTAATTGCACAGTCACTCTAATTCGATAGCTATTTATTTATGAGCAGCGGCATTAATGTAATTACTGCAGGTGTTGTGAGGGCGGCGCGAGGAATAATGCGCCGTTTTCTTCCTTCATGCTGTCGAGTGTATTGAAATCCATTTGCTAGTGAGCACGAAAATATATAAATAAATCAAAATGTCACATTTCTTATATTACATTTCCCCGATATGGAAGCTCTGTTTGACGTCTGTAATAATGTTTGCTGACATGTTTCTTCCAGTGTACTCCCGCAAATCCGCCCCCAGTTAAAATGTTTAGACTTCAATTTACTTTAGAGTCTCCGAGGAGGGACTTTGGCTTATGTCTACAAATCATATCAACAAAGTATCCAGTCAGGACATCCCGAAGCGAGTGGGTACAGTCCATCAAAAAGCTAGTAAATTATAGAAATTAAAAAATACATTATACAGGGTGATTCATAATATGTAAAATATATTTTTTACCAAAAAAATGCTCCCATAACAAGTATTAAGAAGACAATAGTTATTTATTATACAAGACTATAAAGAAATTGTTTGTCTATGAGTAAAAAGGCTAAGTTTACGAGTGACGAAGTCACGAGTGGACTTTTTTCACGAGTAGATAAACAATCTTTACCGTTGTATATAATATTTCGTTTTACTTTGTACTCACCTATCAGTATTAAAAAAGCTATCCTCCAACTTCAATATAAGCATATGACATCGATGTACAGTTGGTTGCAATAAAAACGGAAAATTGAATTTTCTTTAGAATGAAACAGGTTTTGCCCTTGTCAATTTAGTTGTCAATTTGTGATCTGTCACATTCAAATATTTTTTTCTGCAATGCCGCTCTTAAATACCGAGAGCATCAAATGCAAATCAAGATAATCAATTAGTTGAGTACTTACGTGAAAAACCAGTAGTGAGTACTACAGATTAACTGTCAGTGCTAACTTAACCTTTTAGAATTAAGCCATGTTCAAACTATGGATAAATGTAAATGTACCGTGCTATCCAAAAAAAAAAAAAAAAATAGAGTAGGCGGTGATTAAAGTCCTTCAGATAGCAGTCCTGATTTTTGACATCAAATGTCAGCGAAAACTTTGGCAAGTGTGTGTTTTATTCATTTTGAGTGAAATAATGTTCACTTTAAAGCAGAAAATTTTTATTGTTGCAAGTTATTGCAAAAGTGCTGTACAAGACGAAAACGGTGAATGGTCATTTTCACTTTCAGTTTGTATGGAAAATTTCCCGCCCAGATTCCCAGCCAATAATATGTTGCCAACTCTAGAATATTAATCGTCGCCTACTCTAATTTATTTATTTTTTGATCGCACGGTACTAGTCATTCACACACTTGCTGAATTATATTTATTTATTATGCAATCATAATATACAGGTGTTCGGTAAATTGACTGCCATCGCTGCATTGCACTTTTCAGGTTTCAGAAAAATATGATTCTGCATTTGAATTTTTCCTTTTATCATACTTTAAAGAACTAGAGGACTTAAAAAACTACCAATAAGTGAACATGTTTTTATCACTAACTTGTTCTGTTGTATCAAGTGAAAAAAGAAAAACTTCCATATCCGTCAACAGTTGTCCATCAAAATTCAGTATTAAATTCAATATTACAATAATTTCGATGACTAAAGGAATTTATAAATAAACAAGACGGCGACCACAAACGGTGTTTGTGTACCACAAACGGGCTCGTCTCAACAATGACATTCTAACATTTTCAAACATATCAAGGAGACATTCAGCAAAGTAGCTGACCTCTGGTGGCAGGCTAGAAACTATCCAAATGGAGAAAACATTTTGACAATATCAGTTTTCCATTTTTGTCAATTTTACAAGTCAATTCAGTACTTGCAAGCGTTTTTGCTCCGTACCTCATTGCAAAAACTATGTGGGGTCTATTTCGATGCATTATTCTAAAATGGAAATTTCAACTTTAGGTATTATTATTTTAAATAAAAAATTTCTTTTAAAAAACGTTAGACGACAGATTAAATAAAACATTGAAGTTTTCACAAAATTCCGTCAAAGTCCCACCAAAACGTCGCCGCGCCGTTGTTTAAGCTACTCGGCAAAATTAGTAAAGAAGACATCTGGCACAGTTTACAACTGTAAACTATTCAAATGGGGAAAACATTGATAGTTTAGTACCATATATTGGTGGCTGAATTTCTCCTATTAATAAAATAATTATCTGCCTTTCTAACAAAGTTGATACACTGACGTACCAAATTGCGTTTTTGACATGTAATGGGCTCGTAACTTTGGTAATCTTACATAAATTATTTCCCGGCCAAGAGGAAATAATAACATATTTCCTCACCTCCAAAAAGTCAGGAATATTACTAAGTTGTGAATAAAATATGTGTATTATTTAAGAATGCTTTATTCTGTCTTTTCTAATACATCCTGCACCACCCGTAATTTCTTATTAAATGGGAGTATAAAGCTTCTCCATGCAACTTCAAAAATGTGATTTTCTAAATTCGCAAACATCAATTTAGACTGTTAAAATGGTGGATGCGCCGGGATGAATAATAAATAGTTTCAAAAACTAATAAAACATATCGTAGATATAATTTAACATCTCTCTAAAAACTAGTAAATACAAAGAGATGTAAATCTAAAGCAAAATTAATGCAGAAGAACTAGTTAAAATTAAGAAAAAAAATCCGGTTTTCTAATTGTTATATCACCGATTAATAACAATTTTAAGTAATAAACAAAAATTATTCTCTACTTCATACTGATAAGAATGTTGTTTGTGCGTTTTCAATAGAGTATTGAAGAGCTTATGCGCCATATACACAAAGTGTATACAATACAGAAATGTAAAAAGTAAGTTTTTGCGTTGTTTTAGTAAATCTACCCCGTATTCGTAAATAATGAATCCAATAATAAATCCAAAAAATAAAAAAAAAACGTTTTTTTTTTTCAAAAATTATTAAACATTGTTTCTTTAAGTTGGTTTTTCCTCTTTTCTTTAAATCAATGTTGTTTTTGACATTACACTTATATTCTCTGTGCGGTCATTGATTGCTGATCAAAGACAAAAAGATCCTTTTTCATTAAAAGTTCAGAAATCTCAGTGACTAATTGACGTAAGGAGAATATAAAAAAGCATAACAAGGCTGAACGAACATGCACTGATTTAACTAAAAAAGAATCCCCAAATCCGTGGACCAAAAACAAAAAATATACAATTTTTTCCTCGCGCTATTTCTTAAGATTGCGTGATAACCGTAGCATAAAAAATTTTGCCAAAAGATCTCAAAACTAGAAACTTAAAGCTTCAAAATGTTTTTTTTTAATCTAGATACAATCATTTTTCCGTGAGATACAGCCTTCCAAAAATCACCAAAAAACTTAGGAAATATTTTTGTTCCCTTGTGATTTTTTAATAGTAAATTCTGGTCTCAGTGTATTAAACATTTTGAGGTAAAAGAGGTGTCAGTTTAGAAATTAGATAGTGTTGCACTCCCTCCCATAGAATTATAACAATAATTATCTCATAAAAGTAAACTTTTGGCACGATCATGTCGTCACAACTTTAACATCGTTACCTAAAACAGACATCGGCATCGAGTTTCACATTAACGTAATTCAGCAAACTGCCTTCATGACATTGTTTAATATAATATGTGACATTTGAGAAGATTCCTTCTACACAATTACAGCCGTGGCAAAGCGAATGCATTTGCGTAAATGCCTCAGACAGCTTAATTTCCTACACTAACATATTAATTGGATTTCGTGTGTAGCTTACTCACGGTGTTACGCTATCTCCCGGAAGCGGCCATTGCCGGATTTACACGGTTTCGTGCCTTTGGAGTTTTGCAGAGAAAAAACTCGTCGGGATAGCGGAATCGTCTTGCAATGGGGGCTCCGGAGGGGCGCCCTAATGAACGGATTTGCAATGCATTGGTTGGTCAAAGCAAATGCTCGGACTAGAGCGGCTTAATTGAATTTGATATAGTTTGCATTAATTGCTACATCATGTATCGTAATCAGAGATACACATCCTATTTCCATTTCCAAATTATATCACCAACGGACCCGGGGCTTAATGTAGGCTTTTCAATTTCTGCTGGATTATTTATCAAATTCATTTACATTTCATTACCGGAAATGCGTGTGTATACGTGTCATTCATGCTAATTATCTAGATAATTTATGGTCACGACGCTAACCCCGCATTACGAAATAAGCGCTTCCCAAAGATTTTTGAAAAGAGAAACATTGTCACATTTATTAGTTTAGTATTTAGCAAAAATTGAAAATGATTATTTTTTACAGCACCGCAGGATTTCGTCCGGTTCTCGACGGCAACCCCACCAGAAACACGCCACCCTTGTTCTTCCCGTCCCACCTGGCCTCTCAAATATCATCGCAATTTTCGCCGCCTCTCTTCCCGACACTAAAAGGTAACACACAAAAAAATCCCTCAACGATTTATTATAAGACCCGTCGTATCGTCCTAATCGAGTTTCGCAACAACTTCGCCTTCTCTACACCGCCAACCTTACATATCGAATTTAAAGTTGATCGTGATCGCAGGTGTAAAGTGCCGCAAAATTGGACGATAACGACTCCCTAAATGGATAAAGAGAAGGCGGGGTGGGCGCCAAAACAAATTATCGCATTTTAAAGTTTGAGGTGCCACACTTTGTTTAAATTCTAATTGGCTTCGAATATGAACCGTTAATTTTGCTTAGGTTTTCCCGGCCTTTGCTCCTGCTGCCCCATCAAGCCGATGGCGGGTCTGCTGCCATCTGGCGACGGTTCGCAGATTTCTCCCGGCGGCGGCGATCAGCGTTCGTCCAGTGTAGCCGAACTAAGGAGGAAAGCGCAGGAGCATTCCGCCGCCCTCCTGCAGAGTCTCCAACACGTGGCCAACTTCCAGCAAGCGGCTGGACTCGCCAGCAGTCTCAACTTTCCCCTGCTGCCGCCGTTGACTCTGCAAGCGCTCAACAGGAAGCACGAAATGCCGGAAACGGCCACTAACAGCAAAGAACCGACGACGTAATCTGACAGAGGGAGTTGCGAAACGGCGTACTTAGGAGTTTGTAAATAGTGTATGGAGTGCAATTTGAACAAACACCAAATCGTAGCAGGTGGAGATTAGGCTAAAACGGGAATATTTTAGTGGTTTTATGGGCTAAAGGCGGTGTTGGGCGGTTGATTGTAGTGCAATAAATGGTAAAATAAAAGAAGCAAAAACATGTAGATACTTAGATTAAAAAAAAATAAATATGTACCAAATCTCTTCGACTCCACAGAAAATTTGTCTGATGGAATTTGTAACAATGAATTAAGATAATGCAAACATTTTAATATCATAAACACAGCAACAGCGTTAAGTAATTCTTGTCAATTTTATGAATATCTCCTTGACATAGTATAATGACTGTTATGATAGTTTCCCGTTGAATCTTTTAAATTTTGAAAAAATCTGTTTAATAATAATTACTTTAAATACCGAAAAGCGTTAGTACAAAATGTTTTTAAATTATGATACTTTTTTTTTTAATTTTATGATACTTTTTTAATACTTGCGAATACTTTTTTAAATAAAATTAATTTGAAATGGAATTCATTTATCACTTTTTAATTAACCTTCAAAAACACTTTTGCAACAGAACTTATTTCTGTAAAATATGAGAAATTTATAGTATAAATCGGTGTAAAACCAAAAATAACCATAATAATAACACAAAATACAACAAAGTTTAGATTTTCGGTAATAACATCAATAAATTAATTAAATCTAAAAGTGATGGCGGTTAGTTTATTCTTAATCTGCTAAAGTAGATCTCCTATTCGTTACCTAAATGTATATTTTTGACCTCCAGAATATTTTTTTTTCTTAAAAAAAAACAATTTTTCTATTTTAACTATAATAGACCGTTTCATAATGATTGACATCTCGGTAGGCGTTGAGAGAGTAAACTAGACTTTTAGTTCCAAAAATATACTAATGTGAACATTCTTTAGATGGCGATGTCCAAAAAAAATGTGGAACAAACGTCGAACAAAAATGAAATAAAAGAGAAAAAGCACAAAAACCACTTAAAAACGACAAATACCACAAAAAACAAACCAGTGGTTGCAATCGTACAAAATGAACAACCTAGAATTCTCAAAGTACAAATGTTGCCAGCTTAAATTTTAATTTCCATGACCTAACAAGATGTCGATCATTTTGAAACGCTCTATACATATTAGTTCTACATACCAGGTGAATAAAAAGTATGGAACCAAACGTTTTTTGCTTAAACTATTTATTTTTTTAAAAAACTAATTCATGAGTGCTAAAGTACTATAAAAATGTGATGATTTAACAAGAATAAAATTTTTCGAAATTTCCTTTTATTTTTGAGTTCTACAAAAAAATTAATTTTTTTAAATGGCAACCCACTATAAAATCATTTTTCTCATAAAGACTATACTCTAAGGATTACAACTATCTGCTTTATTTTTAATTTTTTCAAAAAATTTTTTTCACATAAATTGCAATTTTGACAAAAAAAATCGCATAACTCAAAAACAAAACAAAATTTCGTTCTGAAATTACGATCACATTTTTTATATTACTTTAATTTATATTAATTATTATTTTCCGGACGCAAATGATCAAAAATAAAACCGCTTGGTTCCATACTTTATATTCACCCTGTATATTGTTGTAACGTTTACAGATGAAAACCACTTTTCCAAACCGACCACAGTAGTTGAAGAAAAATGATACAACTCTTAGCAGTCCTTTGGTGGTATAATTAAAAAAACTAATTTAAAAATAAAATTTTGTTCTTTTTAACACTTTCGCCTAGTCTCCTATTATTATTTTTTCTTTTTGTTCAGTAAAATTTAATATACAGGGTGTTTCAGAACTCGCGCCCCCGGAAAAATGCCATGTAAGATAAGATATATCTACAAGCCGACTGTAAAGAATCACAGCCTTTAAAATTGCATTTTTCTGAAACCATCCGCAATTGTCTGTAAAATAACACAAAATAGTCGAAAAGTAGTATTTTTCCACAACCTTTAGTTGTCATAAATTAAAATCGTCCTTAAAGTTGACAAAATAGAATATACAGTTGACAAGATAGTCCGTAAAGTTTACATGTTGTGTAATTTTAAATGCATAGGTGTTCAAATTTTTACATAATTTAAAGAACTACGAACTGCAAAAAACGTAATGTACCTAATGTCAATTGTACAAATAACTACAATATGGTTAAAAAAAAAACGATAAGGGAAGGTCATAAAAAGTGGTATTGTAGGCCGCCTGACGCCCTTTGGCCCCCTCTAAGCAATAGTTGTACATATAGTTGTAGATTAGCAACTTGTTACCGGAATATTGTGATGTGATCTAGTATTATACCCATTATACAGAAACTGTGTACCATTACGGCCTTCCGCGGCCCTCTGTAAATCCACCAAGCAACCATGTATAAACGATATAGTGTGTTCAATAAAGCAACCTATAACCGATTCCGTCTTTTAATTCTCAATCCCGTCCGCAATCAAATCGCCCTTGTAGCGAAACAAAAGCCAGCGAAAAAATTGATACAAATCGTTCCGTCGGCGGTAATCCCATTTGACGGCGGGGTCGGAAGGGTGGTGCAAACCCCGCCTCCGCCAATGGCAACCCTCCGTTGGAGAGCATCGATCACGTCGCGACGCCTTTCGTAGTGGGGACGAATCTTCGACTTTTTCGACGTTTCGAATGATCGCCGTCGATGAATCATGTCACGTGGTTAAAGCGTTGACTTATGGGAGCAATTGTGAAATTAGATCGCGCTACCTGGGCTCCAGTGTAGCCAACCTCGCGCTAATGGAATTGCTTGATGATGCTGTTTGCTGCCGTAATTTATGGATATTAATATCTATGATGTTTCGGATTAATTACGCGAATAGAGGGGAAGGAGGATGCAAGGCTTACTCGATGAAATGAGATCGTAAATTTGCACATTCTTAGTGTAATTGTTTCGGCCGGATTCTTACGAATTGTTTAACACATCTGAGCTCCGGTTTGCAACTGTCACTGGTAATAAGAACAAACTTGCAAAGTTTTGCAATAGCAGGAACAAAAGGAATTGAGATTAGGGCGAAAAGCACCTGAAGATTCATGAAACTGTCATAAAACAATGAAAAATGATACCTAATAAAAATAATTACCTAATAAAACAAAAAAAAATTCTTCAATCGTTATCTACAGAGTGAATTGGCAAAATCATGTATCAGATATATCACATCAACAGTGAGTTTACTTGCATTTCTCCTAAATTTAAGCTTCCTATATACTGCTACTTTATTGGCGGTTTAAATAAATTATTATTTACTGTGAGATAAAGTTTCATGATCGATAAGTGATTTGTATCAATAAAAGCAAACTGTGCATTTAACAAGATTAAAGTGAAATAAATCAATAAATTAATTATCACACTCTTTACGACACCAATTAAAATACCAGCAAAACATGAGATGATGAAATTTTAAACAATCACAAATTGCAATAAAAATGTACAAAGTACAGAAATTTTCCTTATTTGGTATTGCAATATTATAGCAAGGAAATTAAAATACTGCTTAATAAATAATATTATTCTTATACTTATATATACAGAGTGGCACAATGAAAACAAGCTGATTGATATTTTGGTTGGGGTTGAAGTGGTGGAAACGCAAAGTACACATTCAAGTGTCCCCCTTGAATATAAAATTGATCTGTTTGAGCGTTTTCAGTGGGCCATTCTGTATGATTACTTATTTAAGTACCAAAATGAAGGTTAGTTGCAGTGTCAATTATTATTAGCAAATATAAAACCTCAATAATAAGAAAACATTTACAATAATGATATTTATTGAAAAATCAGCAAACAAAAAATATTAGTAAAAAATTATTATTTTTTGTTAATAAAACAATAATGATAAAACGCAGGCAAGTTTGAATTCTTTCTAAAAATCCCAAAGTCTGCAACAATTTTCTTCAGAGAATAATAAATAATTATAAGAACTCATCTATCCTAACTTTTTGTAATAAAAAATCATGAATTTTAAATTAATTTAGATTACTTAGAGAGTTTGTTGGTTAGTATTATTATTTTAATTTCATTTTTCACGTAATAGTGCGGCAATAGTAGGTTCAAAGCCAAAAAAATATCCCAGATAAAAATTTTTGTAAAATCTCTCCTTTAGCTCGCCATTTTCATACAGTTCTAATCTCTTAGGAAGCCTTTCCATACGTAAGTTTAAAGAAACTTTTTTTACTGACCTAAGAAATCATCCTGCAAATTCTGTTTTTCTTTTTTTTTCTGAGCAATCTAGATACTTTGTAGTAAAATTGTACTATAGATTTTGTCCCTTTGAAAAATTTGCTTGTTTGTTAAATACAAAAGCAACCAGAGATATAGGTAGTATGCAATTTTTATATTAATAACGACTGACAAAATTTAAATGAAAATAAGTAGTATTTATTTAAATAATTTAGAACATGTTTACAAAACATTTAAGAGAAATTAAATTTCAATTCAATGAGAGCAAAAATTCAATTCTTTGTCTATTTCTTTTGTCTGTCACAACTGCAATATCATTGTTATAATAACTAATTATGTTTATCATCCAAAATCTAAGCAACGTTGAATATCCAGTTATATTTTATCACAAGTGGAATATTCGCTTGAATTTGTTGTTGCTAAGATGCGAAAGTAAATATCTGCTATTTTATTGGATTATATTTGAAAAAAGAGAGGTGAATTGAATAGTCATTTAAAAAATTTCTATTTTGTCGTTCTTTGCTGTTTTTAGAACTACGAAAATGTAAATATACACGTAGATCAAAAATTTTCTGTTATTGGAAATTTCCTCAGTTTTGCAAAGATTAAAAGATATCTAGAACAGCTAAAACTAAAATAAATAAAATTTCTTTGTTGGTAATCAGGATTATTCGTATTAAAAAAGTAAATGCAACTGTCATTACAGCCCAAATGGAAAATTGAAATATATGAAAGTACAAATTGCGATCTCTGTTATCTCCAAGTTAGATCGGATTAATAACTTAAAACGCTTTAAATTATCATGTCACCATTTACAATTCATTAAACCTCGATACTGACGTCAAAATGCAACATTTCCGGGATCACTCCCGTAATAACACTACAAAAAAAAAAGATAATTAAACGCCAATTTTTACGAACCCATAAACCTTTCAAAAAAAATTTACATGACCATAAACGCAGTCGTCGATAAATCATCGTGATTACATTTTTGGTCACGTTATGAAAAATGTTATATTCCGGAACGAGCTTAAAACAAAATTGCAATTCCGTAATGCAAACGAAACCAGATTACGGCGACCAGCATTGCACACGAATATATAAATTTCAATTTAAAATGTCCGGCATAAAAATAACGTAATTTTGCGGCGAAAAACGCGTTTAAAAATTATTTGCGCTTACCGTGGAAAGAGCAGGAAATGGGAGTTTTCTACAGAATAAATTAATTTGTTCGGTTGTATAATTAGACTTTTAATAAAACATTACTTGAGAGTGGATATTTTAATTTTTTTCCGTACAGCGTTGCTGTAGCCTTCCTTGTACTTGAACCAGACGTCGTTCTTCGATTGCGGTTTTCCTGCGAATGCAAAAATTCCCGGATTAAACACGAGATAATTACAACGGTTCAAACATTAATTAATCGATTTAGACGAGTTTGACGGGGGGCACAATGAAATTGAGAAACTATAGAGTAATTAGGTCGTTTGCTGAAGCGGTAATTTATTGGTAACGATGTCTGTAATTGCTTAGGAGCCGGAGTCGCCTCCTGGCCCGGATTCAGGCGCACACTATTAGCTTATTGTTTGCCAACGAAAATTACAATTTGGATTATTACTGTTTGAATTGTTGGAGTTGGTTTTATTCGACACAAGCTTCATTACCCACCTGATGACGATGAAGCCTTCGTTACAACGCGGCCGAAAAAGTCCCTCACCACCGCCTGAAACAAAAAACTCGTTTAAAAAAATACCCCCGGATTTACCCTCACTCGTAAAGTGTTGTCAACAAAGTCGTTATTCGTGATAAAAGTTTTCAGGCTGAAAATCCTGTTCAAATTCCAATTTCAGCTGAATCAATTTGACCGCAGAGTTTCGACAAACAGGCAAGCCGCCACCGATATCGAACAATATTATGATCGGATTTCGGAAAATAAAAGTTCGTCTGGTGTCGACTTCCACGAAGCGGTCGTTTAACTTTCGACAGGGATGATGGAGAAAAAGAGACGAGATTTCCGATATTAGTGAACGCAATATCTGGCGGTTAATACTATTCCCAAACGATATCACGCCGGTAATGAAAGATGACCTGGCTAGATTGCGAGCTTAGCGTTATACTGGAAATGGGAAAACTGGCTGCTGATAGCCCATTTTCACTGTGATTCCATTGTTTGTCAGATTATTTCGATCCCAAGGCGCAAATGGCTTAATGGAGAAAGCATTTGTCAACGTTAAAGAAAAATACTGTTGAGGTTACGTAATAGCAAAAAGATAAAGAAAAAACAAAATTCATTTAATATTTTGTTAGAGAGTCATATTTTATAAAAATTCTTGAAAGTGATTGCGTTAATTCACTAACCATTAAAGAATGAAAATGTTATATCGATTATAATAATGTGCGATAAAATTTTTCGGATTAATTTTTATAGATATGCCTGATCCAAATGTCAAAACTAATCGTCCAATAATTTATTTCTTCATTCCGAAAAGGATTTAAATGTTCATATATAAGACAATCAACGAATCGAGTTAGAGCACAAACAAGTGAAGTTTGGAAGTGCTTACACAGTAAGAAACATGAAAGCTATAGTATTTTTAACAGTAGTTTTGGCGTTTGCGCCAGGTAATAACAAATAGATTTAATAACTTAATCTAGTATTTATTTCAAATAAATATCTACAGGACTACAAGGGAGATCTTTGGTGCGTCCAGGCATTATACCTGGAATTAAACCACAACCAGTTCCCGAAGTCGAAAGCCCCGAAATTGAAATCAACCCAGTGCCAATCGTCCCCGGGATCAAACCACAACCCGTTCCCGGAGTTGAAACTCCAGAAATAGACATCAGTGTACCAATTGTACCTGGAATTAAACCACAACCCGTGCCAATTGTTCCCGGAATAAAACCACAACCCATTCCAGGAGTAGAAAGCCCAGAAATCGAAATTAACCCCGTACCAATTGTACCCGGAATCAAACCTCAACCAGTTCCCGGATTTGAAACCCCAGAAATTGATATTAGTGTACCAATTGTACCCGGAATCAAACCTCAACCTGTTCCAATCGTCCCCGGAATTAAACCACAACCCATTCAGGAAGTAGAAAGCCCTGAAATCGAAATCAACCCCGTACCAATTGTACCTGGAATCAAACCTCAACCAGTTCCCGGATTTGAAACCCCAGAAATTGACATCAGTGTCCCAATTGTACCAGGAATCAAACCACAACCTGTGCCAATCGTCCCCGGAATCAAACCACAACCTGTACCAATCGTCCCCGGAATCAAACCTCAACCAATTCCCGGAGTCCAAACCCCAGAAATTGACATTAGTGTCCCAATTGTACCCGGAATCAAACCACAACCTGTGCCAATCGTCCCCGGAATCAAACCACAACCCATTCC